TGGTAAGCAATCAATCAATTAAATGATAATGGTGATGAGGATAGTGATGATAGTGATGATGATGATGATGACGATTGATGATGATGATGATGATGGTGGAGTGGGAGGGGGAAGGAGAGAGGAAGAGGAGGAGATGATGAAGAATCCAGCACTCTTTTCATAAGTTCAGTGCTTAACTCCTCCACAAGATTCTTTGCTGGCTTTATATAGTCCCTCACTAGGGGACGTTTGGAACTCATAACACATTTGTGCATAGTGACACACGGTTCCGTGCATGGCTTCCACGTAAAGCTAAATTATATTCTTGGTTCTCTTACCTTCCAATGACTATATTTGCATGATACAAATCCTGCGTCGTCCATGCACTGTCCACTGAGCCCAAGTGGATTTGTCATCCACTTCATGTCGCGCGTTCTGCCCAGTCTAACGCTCAGACACCAGAGAAGAAAGGGAAGACCCAAGTCCCTGGGCCTCTTAGTTAGCAAGTCTTGTTGACTCACCTCAGATCCAGCCTCACCACTGCAATGGCCCTATAGCTCAGGCATTCTCTTCTCCTTGCTAAACAACACTTATCTAGTCTACCCTACCCCACCTTACCCTACCCTACCTTACCCTACCCTACCTTACCCTACCCTACCTTACCCTACCCTACCGTATCCTACCCTACCTTACCCTACCCTACCGTATCCTACCCTACCGTATCCTACCCTACCTTACCCTACCCTACCTTACCCTACCCTACCGTATCCTACCCTACCTTACCCTACCCTACCGTATCCTACCCTACCGTATCCTACCCTACCTTACCCTACCCTACCTTACCCTACCCTACCGTATCCTACCCTACCTTACCCTACCCTACCTTACCCTACCCTACCGTATCCTACCCTACCTTACCCTACCCTACCGTATCCTACCCTACCGTATCCTACCCTACCTTACCCTACCCTACCTTACCCTAACCTACCTTACCCTACCCTACCTTACCCTACCCTACTGTATCCTACCCTACCGTATCCTACCCTACCTTACCTTACCCTACCCTACCTTACCCTACCCTACCGTATCCTACCCTACCCTATCCTACCCTACCCTACCCTACTCTATGCTGTCTAGTGCCACTGGCTCTCTCCCTTCTCCCCAGTCTCCTACTTTGCAACCAGAAGCGTGTTCTCAAAATGCTTATCTGCCTACGTCACACTCCTGCTTTCAATCTAATGCCTTCCAATGGCCGGTGTGCTCTATACTGCCAACTTCTCCAAACACACCCTCCCGTCTCAGCCCACACCAATTGCTCACCATCCCTCAAACATGGCACACTCAGAAATATGCTGGTCTCTCTGCCCATAATGCCCCTTCTCTTCCACTCTACTTACTGAACTTATACATCCTTTGACTGTAAAGGCTTTCCTGGTGACTGTCTTCCTGATGCAGAGTTAATCTCACCCATCCCTTCTCATGTAAATAAGCCACTGTAATAACTATTTATTGAGAGCCTTATTCTCAAGGCTTTATATTCATTATCTAATTTAACCTTCCCAACAGTACTTTGAGGTAGTGCATTCATTCCCTTTATGATGAAGAAAGTGAGGTTTAGAGAAGTTAAGTTAACGTCAGCTAACCTGAGTCTCTTAATTAGCAAGACCTGTTGAGTTTGCTTTATACGTTTCTCTCAGGGTCCAGCCCTCCCTCACCATAAACTGCACAGCCAGTAGTTAAACTCAGATTGCCTTGATTCCAAAATGTCTGATTTTATCACACTGTATTTAGTTAGCTAAGTTCTGGGAGTTTCTTAAGGGCAGGATCTGGGTCCTGTTCATCTTAGTACCCCAAACCTGGAAATTAGTACTCAAGCATTGGTTGGAAGTTAGAGGGACTTAGTTTCCGACTTAAGATGGAGAAGGGGGGCATGACACCCATTTGCCCTAGCAGGTAGTAAGCACAGCACTCACCAGTTTGAAATACTTAAAGTCTGTCCAGGTTTAGATCTCAGGATCTCAACGTCATGAATTGCTAACTACAGGATTTGAAGCAGGTTATTCAACCTGTCTAAACCTCACTTTCTTTAATTGGAAAAATGGTAACCACACTAGCACGTGGCTAGTGTTTTGCATGTTTTGCACGTGGTTAAACGTGATAAGTATGTCGAGTCACTGCGAGGAGAACTCCCCGAATGGTAGCTATCAGCACTTGTCCGTGAAATGCGCTCCATCGTGAAACCTGCCTAGAGAAGACACTTCTTGACCATACAGAGGATGGGAGTCACGTAGAGGCGATTTCCTGTGCGCCCCTAACACACACCTCTGTGTGTTCACGACTCCTCCATTCAGAGATGGAAACCATATGGAAAGTCCCATCTTTGCCAGCAGAGTGAGACATGAGATCCCCTGGCACTTGTTGTGGCAGTGCATGAATCAATCTGTCTGTGCAGAGGACAGGGCGCTGGACCCAGAAGCTTCATTTGTACCTCAATAAGGTTTCTTTTTCCAATGAAACAGCTTAACAAACACTGGTTTAACCTCCTTGCCTGCGATGGCAAGGCCCCCCACCACGCACACACCTGTCTCTCCAGGCTTCTCAATCCCACTCCTGAGGGTCTTATGGTGGCTGGGAAGGGCAGGCGGCTCCACAGTGCCAGGAAAAGCAGGCTGAAACCCGGGAGGGGCGTGGACGGGAGAACGAGCTGGGCACAGCCTGATGGTGGATATTCACAGGGGCCAGCCACCTTTGGCAAACTGGGCAGGTATCCAGAGGCCACAGCCATCTGTGAGAGCCTCAGAGAAAGGCGCATACTTCTTGGGGCTCTTGCTATTGTGTTAAGTTCCACCACCGTGGCCACTGCTCTCTGAGTTAAACTTTTGGTACTATTTACAACCCATATACCTCACAGGGATGCTAGTCATTAATTCCTGCTCTTAATCAGAGTTCTCTATGACTTTCGCAGACAGTTTCCTACTTATCTCTTCAGGATTAATAGCATTCTGCATATTGTCTATTAGGAGGAGAAAAAGACCCTGCTATATATTGCGCTGGGTGCATTGTAGCTGCTATCACACTCAAGCCTCACAATAACGCCAACAAAATACCTCATTTTGTTGATGGGGACACTGGGGTTCAGACATCAAATTACTCATCCAAGGGCAATAGCTGGTGAATAGCGGCAGATGCAAATTCAAACTTAATCAGGCTCAGACCACAGCCCCGGCGCACTGGGGAATTTAACTTTATGCAACTGTTGAGCTAAACATTTCCTCAGGTTGTGTCAACACAGTGGAAAGCTATAGCAATGGGGTGACTCAAGTAAAGGCCTGGGACCTAGGGCTCTGGAAAGGGTACACATGACAGCAATTTAGAGTAGGGTCTGGCATGTGGCAATACTGCAGACTGAATGTTTGTGTACTCCCCAAATTCATATGCTGGAAACTAATCCCCATTGTGATGGTATTTAAAGGTGGGGCCTTTAAGAAACGATTAGGTCATGAGGGTGGAGCCGTCATAAATGGGATTAGTGCTCTTATGAAAGAGACCCCAGAGAGATCCCTCTCCCCTTCCACCACATGAGGACCCAGCAAGAAGACGGCTGCCTATGAACTCACCAGCTCTCACCAGACACCAAATCTGCTGATGCCTTGATCTTGGACTTGCCAGCCTCCAGAACTGTGAAAAACAAATTTGTAGTGTTTATAAATCACCTAAGCTATGATGTTCTTTTATACCATAACTGACTAAGATAGGCAAGAACTCTATTCCTTTTCTTTTCATCCTCCTTTTTTTGAATGATGTTTATTCTTCTCTGACTGTACTATACTTGGAAGAGTAGTCATGAACAGTGTAGTGGGAATTTATTCATCTAAATTCCACCTTCATACTTACAGAAATGCAAATCCAATAATAGTAAAATTTCTTAAAAGAGCATCTTTGAGCTTAGATTGTTGGAGGTTGAGCAGATCTTTGGGCACCTGAGTCGTTTGGAAGGATCTCCTTCTGCTTCATTTCTCCATGTGGATTATTACGGTCCTTTGGTGGGAATTCAGCATGTAGGTTTTCGGGGAGGGGATTAGGGATCTCATCAGCACTCATCAAAACCGAGAAATACGCTTATTTTCTTTTATTCTACTGCTTTTATTCTACTGATATTCAGCATTTTCCCCTCTGAATTCCCATTGCGCCCGTCACTCTAACAGGTGTCGTCCCCGCATTATGAAACACCTGACCTACATCCTATTTCCTCCAGCAAGCTAGCATCTCTGAGCTACTGCCAGGAAGTTAAGGACATATACAGCCTCTTTGTATTCATTACCCTCCCCGGGAACACAACGGAAGTAAACAATTGCCATTTAAAAGTAGACTTAATGGGGGAAGGTTTCCCTCATTACCTCAGGATCCAAACTGCCATCACTTCTGGAAAATGACAGTAGTCACCGTCTTCAAAGCCTTTTCCGGTCCGACCTCCATTCTGGCGCTGGAATGGTTTTTCTTAAAGAGCAAGTTGACTCCTCTGCTAACGTTCCGCAGTGGCTTTCAGTTACTTCAAATACTGTCAAACTTTTTGTCCACGGCTTGCAATGCTCTGCCTAGCTCCCAGCCTTACCTCTTGCTTCTTCCTACTTTGATCTCTAGTCTCAAGGAAAGTGCTTGCAGCCCTCGAAGGAGTACACTTTCTCTTATCTCTGGGCTGTTATTCACAGGGTCCCACCTGCCTGGAGCAAATCCCATTCTCCCCGCCCCCCCCCATCTTTTGGGCGTAGGCATCACTTTTTCAGAACCCCTCCAGGTTGTCTCACAACCCAGCAATGAGCTCAGAGAACCTCCATTCTTCCCCTACCACAGCCTGAAATAACTGGCTACCTCTCTATAATTTCCATTGGACTGTACACTCCCTGAGGAGAGGGAACATCTCTGTCTTTAGTGGCGTGCCTAGTGTACAGGAGAGAACAAATAAATACCTGTTGAGTGAATAGACGGAAGTCCCCCATCAGTAAGAAACAGCACCCGAGCAGAAAGAGAGACAATAGGAATTTTTAATGCATGGAGAGCCCTGCAGGGACTCTGGGCAGACCCACAGGCAGCAGGAAGAGGCAGGGGTCCTGCAGACTCAAACGCGTCCGAAAAACAAAGTCCTAGAGACCCAAGCTTCCTCACTGCAACAATCCTCGGGGATGCCCTCCTGATGCTGAAGAGGTCCAGTTGTCTCTCCATAGGTCTGTCGTCTCCTCCTGGGGTCCGCGGCAGGAAGGAAGCTGAGTGTAGCAGGAGGGAGGAAGAAGGGGAAAGGCCTCTTGGTCTCCACCTGAAAAGCTCCTGCCTCGGGATTGACCACCATCCAGAAGAAAGTGTTTAAAAAGGAGAGACTTTGATAGAGTCAAATAAGATCTTAGAAAAAAATAAAAGATAGGGGGAAATGAATAATTCCAGTGGTTACAAAGTTCTCTGTCGGCTATCCACAAGAGAAGGAGTTTGCTTTGGCCTTGCTGGCAGGCCTTATCTGCCAGGCCCGTCCTCAGCTGTCCCCCAGCCCACCCAGGCGCCAGGATCCACGAGAGCACCGCTCCCCCTCCCACGGAGAGTCTCTGTGCTCACGGAGGGCAGCACCCTCCCTCACCGGCCCTTGGACTCCCCATACGTGTTTCGGGCCATGGACACCATCTTCTCCTCGCATGTGATTTTGGTGTCCTTGAGGATGCTGTACCACACCATACCCACAGGCCGGACCTCCTCGCTGCGGCAGAAAAGGTAGGGCACGGTGTCCACGCGGCTCTGGATGTAGGCGCTTCGGAGGAGGCTGGAACAGTGGCTGCTCACCTTCTCCAGACGCCGCAGGATCAGGTGGGCCTTCCTGGAAGACAGAGGAGGTGCTAATGAAGGAAGGGGCCTAGATCGAGCATCAGGCCTTTGAGGGGGGTGAGTTAAATGTCAGCAGACAGACGAGGACTTCTTGTCCCAACAATTCCCTAGCCGTGCCTGACTCGAATGTGGTACTTTGAACGCCGTTCAAAATTCCCTTGCAACTTGTCCTCTTTAACTGTGCAAGGTGTAAAAAGTAAAAGAGCGGTATAACCTTTGACCTAACACTTTCACTTCTGAGATACAAGCATTACAAGGTAAGCAGGCTGAGGACTCTGACCAAGTAAGTGTAAATGATTATAACAATGATACATGACAACAAGAACAAAAACTAAAATGTATTAACTCCATGAGCGTTTAAAAATACATTTTAAATTTAAAACTTTTTCTATAATCATTTAAAAATTTGTCTATAATCTTCACAATAGCCCTGACAATATTGTTATTTCCACATATAGTCAATGGCCATGGAGCCCAGGTTTCAGAGAGGTGACACTACTTGACCAAGGTCAAACATCAGGTTGACCACTGGAGTTGGGCATTTGGATCTAGGCCTGAACACCCACCAAGTCCCCCTCTGGCCGCTTTCTTACTTTTCTAATTCTCTCACACTCTTTTCTCATAGTCAGAATAAAATCTTGTCCTCTGTGCTTCTAAATTCATGAAAGCCTTTATATGTATATACCCAAATCAGAACTTCTCTGTTTCATTTTTCTTATCTCTAAAATAGTGATGGTGGCCTTACTGGTTGTCAGATTAACTAAGAGAAATGCCCAAAGGCTGGCCCTGAGTAAGCTCCCAATAAATGATAGCTTCTATTATAGAGAATTGTTGTGATGATGTCTCAGGGTCAAGGTCATACTGGACACTAGTCTCAGCAAGAATCGCCCTGGACTGTGGGGGTCATCACTAGGCACTTATCTAGAGCTCTTTCTGTAGCACCAGACAGTGGATCCTCGGGGAGACCTGAGGGCTGCAGAGAAAATTAAAGCAAGCATCTTTGAGATCACCTAGTCCAAGGCTTCTCAACAGAAGCGCCACTGACATGTAGGCTGGATAATTCTCTGCTGTGGGAACAGTCTTGCAGGACATTTAGCAGCATCTCCAGGCCTCTGCCTACAAGATACCAGTAGCATCCGCAGCCCCAGGCATGACAATAAAATTGCCTCCAGACATTGCCAGATGTCCTCTGGGGGCCAAAATCACCCCCATTTGAGAACCAGAGACTTAGTCTGACCTAATCTCATTAAAGATGTGGAAACTGAGGGGGCTTAGAGAGGGAAAGGAATGACCTTTTCGCGGGTCACACCATAAGTCAGCTTTGCTGTCCAGGTGTCCATCTCCTTGTGGAATCCACTTTTCTCTACATCTCAGCATCCTAAGATGCCTAGGGATCCTGAGGGGCTAAATGACAGGCTCTCTCCTGCTGTCCTCTCCATGCCCCTCTGAGACCCCAGGAGGGAGGGCGTTTTACGACAACAGACCCCACAAATGGGAGACTGTTTTAGGCACCCGCGTGGCGGCCGGAAAAGGGCCGGGCTTATGCGTGTAGCTTTTGTGGGCACGATTTATGAAGTGCCTTTCAAAAAGTCCTCTTTGTACAGTTCACCACTTGGGTGGAATGTTTCCTGAGGTGCCAAGAATTCATAGCTTTATAATCACACTCGAGTTACCACTCGACCCACAAGCCTCTTTCACCTCTGGCAGGCGCCTCCGCAGGGGGAGCCCAAGGAGCTTACTCTCAGCCCTCCTTGTTTCAGTTCCCGCTCTGTTCCTTAGCAGCTCGGTGTCCTTGGGAACTTTACTTAACGTCTCTGAACTTGTTTCTTCACTTGACAGATGGGGCAGTTAAGAAGTTAAAGGAGACAAAGTCATTGGTTGCTCCTTTACAGAGCATTTATTATACGGCAGAGCTCCCGATTCAGTAGGAAAAGACAGACAGATGTAAAATTGAAACACCCGTGGCAAGAGCAATGATAAAAGAAGGCGTGGGAGGGCTTCCCTGGTGGCGCAGTGGTTGAGAGTCCGCCTGCCGATGCAGGGGACACGGGCTCGTGCCCGGGTCTGGGAAGATCCCACATGCCGTGGAGAGGCTGGGCCCGTGAGCCATGGCCGCTGGGCCTGCGCATCCGGAGGAGCCTGTGCTCCGCAACGGGAGAGGCCACAACAGTGAGAGGCCCGCGTAACGCAAAACAAAAACAAAAACAAAACAAAAGAAGGCATGGGAGCTGTGGGAAACAGAGGACAGTGCCTAGGTAGGATTGGGAAATCCAAGAAGACTTCCTGTAGAAGGGGAACTTGTGCTGAGCCTCAGTAATGAGTAAGGTTTAGGTAAAGAAGAGGGCACAGGCATAACAGGAAGCCTAGGTAAAGGCACAGAGAGAAGGGATTTCATGGTGAAATACGGTGTGCAAGTGGGCTCACGGTGGGAAACGGGAGAAGTGGCAGGAGCCCAGCCACCGGAGCTTAGAAGCTGGGGCATTTGCTGTATAGAGTAATGGTGTACCACACAGGCTCTAGAGCCTGGTTGCTCAGGTTCAAATCCTGCCTCAGCCACTTACTAGCTCTGTGATATTGAGGAAATTGTTTAACCAGCTGTGCCTCAGTTTCCTTATCCATAAAATGGGAATAATGACTACATCGACCACAAAGGTCGTTTTAAAAATCAAAAAAAAAAAAAAAAAAGAAACATTAATGAGTCTGTCATACAGAGTGAAGTAAGTCAGAAAGAGAAAAACAAATACTGTATGTTAACACATATATATGGAATCTAAAAAAAAAAATGTTTTTGAAGAACCTAGGGGCAGGACAGGAATAAAGACACAGAGGTAGAAGATGGACTTGAGGACACGGGGAGGGGGGGAAGGGTAAGCTGGGACGAAGTGAGAGAGTGGCATGGACACATATACACTACCAAATGTAAAACTGATAGCTAGTGGGAAGCAGCCACATAGCACAGGGAGATCAGCTTGGTGCTTCGTGACCACCTAGAGGGGTGGGATAGGGAAGGTGGGAGGGAGACGCAAGAGGGAGGGGATATGGGGATATATGTGTACGAATAGCTGATTCACTTTGTTATAAAGCAGAAACTAACAAACCATTGTAAAGCAATTATACTCCAATAAAGATGTATAAAAACAAAACAAAACAAAACATTAATGAATCTATAGTAAGTCCTCAATAGGGGTAAGTGGGGGGTTATTGAAGACTTTCAAGCAACAAAGTAGCAGGTCCAGAGACAAACTGCTTAAAAATGGTTCTAGCTGCATTGAGGAGAATGAAACCTGGGGAGGTCAAAACCAGCAGCAAGAACCACGAACAGACACAGCCAGGTGTCACGTGTTTCCTGTCACTGCACTTAGGGGTGCTGGCTTGTTTCTCCTCTTGCTTTTAAAAAGCTACTTATTCTTTCTAGTTCCTTATTTACAAAAAGGGAATAACATTTGCCCACCTCATGGAGTTGAAGCGAGGATTAAATAAGTTAATAAGTGTAAAACTCTCTTAGAAAAGTAGTTGGCACATACTAAGTCCCTGATACACGTCAGAAAGTACATCACCATCACCACCACCTCCACCATCAGGATTTGTGTACTGGTTTAAGCTTTGAGCACTTATGTAAGTTAGTGGCAGGAGACAGACAGACAGAAATAGTAACAGCCTCTAATTTAGGGGGAGAGTTCTGGGTTGGAAAACATGCTGGGTGCTACGGGAATATATGAAGTGGGCACCCAATCATTAGTTTGGGGGCTCCGAGAAATCTTGCCAGGGGACATAACATCTGAGCTAGGTCTTCAATGATGAAACAAATTTTTCAGGTAGATGGGAAGGCAGAGGAGATAGCTCATCCAACGTTGGGCTAAAGAGGGCATAAAGCATCAGTTTTTTGAAACGGTTAAGTGCAAAGAATGAGTGAGAGACAAGTCAGTTTGGTAGAGATCAGACCATCCAGACTCTTTCGAGCCATGGTATTCTGTTTTCTGGGTGAGGGAGAGTCATTGTCTGATAAGTCGTAAATACAAGATGAGGCTGGGAAGGACAAGTCCTCCAACATGACCAAATGCTTTGTCTCCAAGGGCCCAGCTATTTCCAAAGAGAGAATCTTGGAACTCAACTGAACCCAGCCTTTGTATGGATGGGGAAACTAAGGTTTGAAATTAGAAAATAATTTGCCTAAAGGAACACCTTAAGTTAGTAACAAAGGCAAAGCTAGAACCTGGGCTCCTAAGTATATAGAGCTAAGATGAAATATTTGGCTCTGGAGTCCCAGATTCAAATCCTAGTTCTATAACTTAGCTATGTGGGTCATGAGCAAGTTCTTCATACTAACCCTTAGTTACTGCAAAGTAAAATGGGAATAACAATGTTTTTGGAAGATGAGATAACCTGGGTAATTTGCTTAGCTCTCAGTAAATGTTAGCCAAGATTCAAAGTCGTATTTTATAGCAGATATAGGACATAGGCTCCAGAGCCCATTAGGGCAAGCCACTTCTTCTCCGTGAGCCTCAGTTTCCTCATCTGCAGAGTGGGGACAGAGACAATTATTTTGTAGTGCTGCTACTAGGCTGGAATGAAATTACCGCCATAGGTATCTAGCACAGGAATTTGCATATAATACGCACTAAACCAATGTCAGTTTGCCTAACTGTCCCCTGCTCTTTCTCCACTGTACACTATGCCTCAGCACCTTGGTCTGCAATGAGACAACAAAGGCAGAAGAACTCAGAAGGTGAAGCCATGAAGAGAAGGGTTGGAGGTGCTCAAAGGCCGAGGAGGGGGACACGGGTGAGAGACAAAAGGTGAGCGTGCTGGATGATAAACTGTAGGCAATGGAGATTCACAAATCCAAGGCCAGGCATGCCCCAAGCTTTGCCTGGAGGGGGAAATTGCAGGTCAGAAGGACCACTTTTCTCAAATACCAGAAATGAAATCTTCCTCCTTGGAGACAGGACCCAGGCCTGGTGGGATAGGAAGTCAGAGGTAAAGGAGGGACAG